CGAGGATTAAACACTGACCCTATGTATGAGAATAGCGCGTCTAACTGGTTTTCATCACCCCCTACATTTTTTTTAAAGTTAGCAATTTCGACAAAAAAAAAGCGTTAACCTCTAAAGAGCATAACTTTATACGCTACCTGCTTCGTATGTATCCGCGTCGTTTGGATTCTCATCATCATCATCATCATCGAGGTCTGCTAATACTTCAGCAGCCTTGTCGGCATCCGCCTCTACGTACACACCGTTCCTAAGAACCCATAGTATCGGTTCTTCAGCATTGTCCTGATCCTGCAGTGGTAGCAGGTCACCCTGTACAATAGGTTCGCGACTATCGTTGGCTATAGCCGTATCGAGCGAATCTACAATTTTTTAATTTTTTATTTTCGCACAAATACATTTTGAGCGGCTTCTGTACTTTATCATTATTACCTGGGTTGTGCTCGTTAGAATCGTTGGAAGCGGTGGAGCGATCGTCGACATCATCCTGGTCGTCGTCGTCGTTGCTGACGTCTGACGTTATAGCCATGAATGCATCTGTAAAAATGTATGAATAGCATAACACATTTTTTTTTCCGACGCTGTATGACAAATACCCCATGTGCCGTAATGCGTTTCTTCTTCTTCTTCTTCTTCAGCCGTTCGTCTGCTCAGCGTTGTCGCTGGTCCTGGCACTTTTTCTTTTTAAATAAAACATATATAAGCCGCAGACTTTTTTGTTTGAAAGTACATGCTTTACCGTTAGCGTACTGTATCATCATCGCTGTGCTGGTGCTTGGCTCCGGGTAAATCTCCTCCTCTACACGATTGAGGCACTCTAAAAGCAACCGATCCTCCTCCTCGGGTGCGTCGACGTTGTGAAATCGCGTCAATTCTTGTAAAATTTATTTAGTTTTAAAAGGCAGTTTATTTAAGCAATATTACCGATAAGTGGAAAATACATACCTTCGTGGAAAGCATGATCAGCTATAATAGGTCTGGTGACACGGTTATCCCGCACTCTCCGTTTGTTAATACATGCTGCGGCTAACGAGAGTATGTACGAATCGTTTCTAAAATACCCTCTCTCGTGACCTCTGGCTAGCACGCGTAGAGCGCAATGGGCAAATACAGTTTTTAACCTAAGAGTTAACGTGCGTAAACCAAAATATCTTAATTCTCTGCGCCACACCGGCGAGAATAATCTCGCGTTTATAGGTGTCATCAGACGCCGGGTCTTTACAAAATCGACAATACATTCGCGAATATGCGTTACAGATGACATTTTTTTTAAACTGTTGATTGCTGTAGGTGATCAGTCTGTCTACCGGGACGTCGTGATGCGAACTAAAGCAGGGTACATCTAGCCCGTGCCCGTCTTACAGTCGTTGCGATATTAATTTCAAACCAGTGGACTATGTTTTAAAACGTGACCATGCAAAACAGCTGATTCAGCGGAAAAAATTACGATTCTCTTATGGCAGCGTTATCCGTCGAAAATCGGGTAAAATCGGGTAAATCGTTTCAGTCGTAACAAACAGACATATTTATATACTGGGTGCGTCGTAATTGCCATACACGGTAAGTCAATACTGGTTCAGGGTGGCCCCCTGAGTAAGAATCCGTAATTCGTTTGGTCCTACGTTCAGTAGTTTTTCTACAAATTTAGCTTTACTTCTGCCAATCAGAGGACAGCTTTGAGCGAGGTGTCGCGACGCCGCCAACAATGGAAGACTTTATAAGACTTCACTATAATCGGCTGAGTTCACTTGGTACATGTTGCAACGATAAACAAATTTAAAGATCCATTTGATTGTCTGCCGCACATAGCATTTGTTTCTCGACGGCATCGATGAAGTTAAAGCCAGCCAGGGATGCCCACTAGATACTACACCAAGCAAAGCACCAGAGAATGGGATTGGAGTAAAACAAATGCTACCGACGTTCCATAGACGAAACACATAAGCTGGACACCGGATCTTACAATGCGTCAGATTGAAAAAAAAATAGACTAGGAGAGAAATGCAAAAACACGTAACGCCTTATTTTGCTCAGAGAATATTCACACCAATTTGCAGCTTTTTGCAACTTCCGGTGCAAAAGTTAGAGAGCACCTGTCGATTCCGAATTTTGTAAAAAATACATCCAATTGAAAATATGGACTTGGATAGAAATGCAAAAACACGTAACGCCTTAGTTTGCCCAGAGAATGCATGTTGGTGTGAATATTCTCTGAGAAAAATAAGGCGTTACGTATTTTTGCATTTCTCTCCTAATCGTTTTTTTTTCAATCTGACGTATTGTAAGATCCGGTGTCCAGCTTATGTGTTTCGTCCATGGAACGTCGGTAGCATTTGTTTTACTCCAATCCCATTCCCTGGTGCTTTGCTTGGTGTAGTATCTAGTGGGCATCCCTAGCTGGCTTTAACTTCGTCGATGCCGTCGAGAAACAAATGCTATGTGCGGCAGACAATCAAATGGATCTTTAAATTTGTTTATCGTTGCAACATGTACCAAGTGAACTCAGCCGATTATAGTGAAGTCATGTGAAGTCTTCCATTGTTAGCGGTGTCGCGACACCTCGCTCAAAGTTGTCCTCTAATTGGCAGAAGTAAAACTAAATTTGTAGAAAAACTACTGAACGTAGGACCAAACGAATTACGGATTCTTACTCAGGGGGCCACCCTGAACCAGTATTGAC